TCTCCAACTTAACGGCAGCAGCTTCCAAGTCCAGTAATTTGTCTCGTCTTTTCTGAATCAACTTCGAAGGCCCTTTTGACATGTACAGCAGTCGTTGTAGGGGCTCGTTCAATCGAACTCTTATCTCTTCCTTCTGTAATACGATAACGATAATGGGTCACCGTCTGAGGGTCGGAATCAAGTACGAAGCATACAAAGTTCTTTAGCACGGCACCGTCTAAAATTTGGTCCCACACACGTGGGCCGATTTTTCTTGCACCGGGAGTCTTATGACTCATTGGAGCGATCGCCTCCAAAGAAGATGCCAGCGAACTGAGCTGCGAAAGTTCTTTAGCGATCTGATCGCTGAACGTCTGAGAGTCCCGCAGCAATGAACGGCAGACCTTTTCATTGGCATGGAACTGCCGACAGCTTTCGTTGAACTTTTCGTCTCGAGCCTTAAACAGTGAAAGTTACAGAGGAGGCAAAGGTAGACAGCGAAGCAACACAGAAACAATCTCGTAATGAACATCAATGTCTACCGAGAAGGTAGTTGGATTTTATTTAAGTGAAAACTGGCTGACAAGGTGACGGAGGAGTGGAGCCATTAAAGATGTCGCTGTCTCAACTCCGAAGAATGTGCAGGTATGTGATGAAGGTGGATGCTATGGACAGACGGAGGAGTAAAAACGATTTATCGCTCAATCTGTAACACACCGTACTGGCTTTCAACAACATCAAAAAAAGCAACAATTAAAAACTGACAGAAATCTGTGGAATAACAATATCTGTCAATGCCAAAATGGATCTGATCGAGCCGAAATACCGTTAAAACTTTGCAACTGACCATACGACAGCATCGACTAGAGTGAACAAATCTTTCATGAGGAAGTATATTACAAGCACCTCGTTATTTTCAAGGCCTTGGAGGTTCTCATTCCTCCATCGCTTCTGAAATAGCTCGAGGGTGCGAAACACAATACACTGTGCATTTACGTGCGGTCATTCCACCCATGACTTTACAGCTTATTGTACGGAGTCATTCATTTCTGTGCTCGATTCAAGAGGGGCTGCTGCTACAGCAATTTTATATTCCCTACCTCAGCATTTAACGTCTTGCCTCGACGGCTGCTTTTCAGCCATTTGCAAGAAGATGATGTCGCCAATAACTTACTTCACCGGCAGAAGGACAATTTCTCAAAGCGGCGTCAGTAGGTTGCTGTAGTGAGGCGTTGTTTACTGACGGCTCAGAACAACCTAAGTGTCCTACAGGATTCCGTTCTGATACCGCTGCTTTTAAAATTCTATCTGAGAACGCGTAGTACCGCCAACCAATATCATATATTAAGTACACAGATGGCATGATTCAAATCGCAGGCATCAAAATGAACTCGGTTTGCTCAAAATATAAGTTGAAGAAAATGGAGTTGGGTTGTGGATCAAATCGATACAATATCAGACAGCAAGAAGACTGTCCAGCTGACCTCTCAATGAAAAATGTCGGGAATCACCACCATAATCCGTCACCCTGTCAATATGAAGGGCTAGCCTGCACTATCAAACGACATGCGAAATACTCTCGAATGAGAAATTAAACTGGTCGGATCAGGATCCTTAGATATTTTCAAAAATGCGGAGTGGATGGTATCATCTACTGCGACTGGTAATGTTACCAAGAGTTAGTCCGTCTGTCCGTTTTCAATTGTCTGATTCCATTCTTTAATTACGCTGGCCCCGCTACATTTGGTGGCCAACTAATAAAAGACTATAGATAACTCAGAACAATGGTAATGAACTCCTGCATCAGCAGAATAGACGCCAAGGAAATAGTTGATCGAATCGCGAGCGACCGACCGATCGGCTCTTACAACCAGTTGCACAGGAAGTTCATGAATGCATCTTCCAAGAATTCGGTAGCCTTTTTATGGGCAGCCCCCCCCCCCTTTACAAAGCCCTATCGGAAGGCTATCTTACCTATTCTTTCCAGGTTCTTCGGCAGCCAGATAAACAGAGAAGGCTGGCTGGAAACAGTTTAATTATGAGGTAATGAGAACGGTGAAGGCTGTGTGTAATTTTGCCAGTCATGCTGTGTACGATGCAGTTTCTATTCACAATTCTGATGTGCTGAATGCAACTGCGGATGCTGAAAGAAATACATTTTGTTTGATTGATCGACTGACTATTAGGGATCCACTGACGAAAGAATTGTGATCCATGACGCGGTGACTTTCTCTATTACTGACAGAGAGAGCTTGAAAGCC